GACGACCTCCGTGGCCGAGTGGTTTATACGCCGGGTTTCATGGCGTCGCCGACTCGAGAGGTCCCGGGTTCGAATCCCGGTGGGGGCAGATGTTTGTGTGATGAATACGAGCATTTGTACTCCAGTCATGGATGTTTAATATGTATTTCATATAAATATACTTATATATGTACAATATATGTATTCTATCCGTTACCCTAGTATCCCATAACACAAGCCTTTACAGTGCTTACTTTGGGGCTAGGCTAATTGGTGTGAGTGTTGGAAATATTTATTTATTATTTATTATTATTATTTATACTTACCTTGTGAACAGACGTATTGGAATAAGTCACACTGCAAGCGTCGCGCCTAGGGGGCCAATCGTCTAACGGAATTGCTATGGCTACCGCCTAAGGTTTTCGAATACCTCACGCTCATTTTCTTTAATATTGTTATTACCAATGCAAAAGAAAAGAAAAGCGGGAGGCATTTGAAATCCTTCGGGGGTCAGAAATTACAAAATGATATCGTAAGCGATAGCGATAGCATACCCGTTAGGTTAGGTTAGGTTAGGATCCTGACTGAGGTCGCCTTTAGCATGAGCGTGGTATATGCTCTAAGGAATTGCAAACAAATTATAAAAGCCAGACTTAACAGTGAGTGAACGCAAATAGACACTAATAATATTAATATAATAATGAGCAAGTTTCGTGATAAACATAGTAAAGACGAAGTACTTTTAAAGCCTTTCTCAAATACAAAATTCATGTTTATAAAACTACGATGTCATTAGTCGTGTACTTGTTTATCAATTCGTACCAATTCGTAATTCATTTCAAGCCAGTGAAAGATGTTAATCGAATCCCTTTACAAGCGATTTTTCCAGCATTCATTACACCTGTGTCGAACTTTCTAAGATAGAATTCGAGAACATGGAACTATTCACTATTCTGTACCCTTAGTACGAGTTTGAGCTAACGAAAACTATCATAGTTTTCGTAATTGTAAATTATGTTTCTACGTCCATTTTTGTGAAAAGTAACCAAATATACTTAAATTTTAAGAAGACGTAAAGGGTTTAATGATTGAATTTAAACACTGTTTATTTGTATTGAAACGAAAACAATAAAATCAGCACACTTAGTACGAGTGCGAGCTCACGAAAACTATCATAGTTTTCGTAACTGTAAAACTCGTACTAAGGGTACTGGGTAAGGGATTGGATTTATTAAAATCCAATGTAACAAAGGATAATACAACAGATGATTCCACCATGATAAGATAACCGCAGCTAATAACCATAAAGAACATATTTGTTTCTTAGGTTTTCGTGCACATCACTCATTAAATAAAACAAGTTTCCACGGGTTAGATGCACTGTTTTTTTTTATTTATTTATTGACGTTCACATCCTTTCCAGGAATGCGTCGTCGGAATAATAATAAGCAAAGGATACGATACGTCAATAAATAAATAAAATCAGTGCATCTAACCCATTGAAACTTGTTTTATCTTTAGAACATTTTAAATGCGAGTTAGGAATGAAAAAACACATTACCTAGGTACGACGTTAATACCTAACACAGGTTCATAACAAACTCGTACGTAGTTTGTTGCGGCGCGCGGCGGCATCTAAATTAATACTCAGATCGCAATTTTAACGTTGATACCAATGGTATCAATTCTGCCATGATTCTCTAAACTTAAAACTAAATTTGACAGCAGTATATCCTTGTCATTCTCTATACAGAATGAAAAGGAGAGACTGATGTTAAATTTAGTTTTAAGTTTAGATAATCATGCCAGAATCGACACCACTGGTGCCAATTCTGGCGTAATTCTCTAAACTTAAAACTTAATATAAAATCAGTATCCTATCATTCTGTATAGAGAATGACAAAGATCTGTTCTTTTTAGTTTTAAGTTTAGAGAATCATGCCAGAATCGACACCAGTGAAATAATACTGTAACATCAGCTTGAAAATCATCATCATTAACAGCCTATCTTAGTCCACTGCTGGACATAGGCCTCTTCAATTGCACGCCACTAAGATCGATTTTGGCTTAGCGTAAAATATTTTTTCAGCTAACCGAAGATCGAACTTAGTGACGAAAATAATCCCTTAGAGCGCCCGCCCTCGCGCCGCGTGAGTCAGTGGCCAAGGGTGATAGGTCACCCCAGCATTGAGGTACATGTCCTTGAAGCACCCTCGTAATTAAACCAGAATTGGGTTTCAAAATGGCTTTGTTATATTGACGTCACTAATGCAATGCGAAATTAGCTAAAGTTGTAGGTAAGTTGATGAACAGATGAAACATAACATTACTATGCTTGGACGCATGAATATTTTTTTGTTTAGATTTTAACATCTAGCAGTTAAATGCTTAAAAAATAGAAAATATAATTATCATGCACGTTCTTTGTTAATACAATGAAGTAATAAAAAAATATCTATTAAACTCATGTTTGTCATCATCATAAAAAATGACTTGATGAGTCACAGATTTGAATTAATTATTTTCCAGATAACCTTAACCTATAACATTTTACCAAAAGAAAAAAGTCCTTGACAAATATGATTTTTTTAATCACACATATGATTTAGAGCTGTTAAATTAGCTCCCTGTTAAGCTTTTCCCAAAAGAAGAGCATTGATTTCCTCGATCAAGATATGAAGAAATTTTTAAAGGGCTTATAAAACTATGTTTGCTACTCATAGTGTTGAAGACCCCATAGGCCACAGAAATGGCTTAGCATCAGGCATACAGTGTGTTTGTTTGCATTTCTAATGTAAGAAAAAAAAATTTTTTTTTGGTGCTCAAGTTCTAGTCTTAATTAGTAGGTAGTTGTGCAAAATTTTTGTATAATAAAAACAATTAGAATCCTTTTTAGAAAGATTGATTGAAAAATTAAAAAAACTGCATTTTAATGATTTCATTATTATTCTGATTATCTTGTATTCCTGAATACTACCATTTACCAGTAATAAAAAAAGTATTTTAGTGGAAATACTAATACACTGCCAAATTAATAGTCTCTAGTCTTAAGTAGTAAATTCAATTCCAACTTTGTTAACATTAACAAAAGTCAAATAATAAGATTGTCAGTCAATCTGCAGTATCTTGGTATGACTTAAGTTTATTGAATTTATTTTATTTTAGTAAATATGTTTTGTACGTCTCATTTAGTTGTTAACAATGTATATTTTGGGAGGGAATGATATTACAAGATGAAAATCAATATAAATCCATTGATTTTCATTTTGTGTGTTATGGCCACAGAATTTATTTTATGAAAATTATACTTGTCAAATTTAAATAAATGAGATATAACATACATTTTTGTTGTTTGTGAAAAATATGTTTTCAGACTGCCGTATTTGAGCTTTAAATGATTATGCTCCCTACTATATTAAATGTGATTGGAATCTTCTTCTTCTTAACGCTGGGTGTTTTCCGCAACTCAACACCAGGTGCCTATTTTACGTGAGAGGATGATCTGATTGGAATTATTTAATTATACCTGTACCTAAATATCTGCTTAAGGAGTCTTGGATGTACCATAACTTCTAATACAGCAGTTGAAAAATAAAATAACTATTAATAATGCTAACACAGGCATTGGTGCCAATTCTGGCGTGATTCTCTAAACTTAAAACTAAATTTAACATCAGTCTCTCCTTTTCATTCTGTATAGAGAATGACAAGGATATACTGCTATCAAATTTAGTTTTAAGTTTAGAGAATGCTGCCAGAATCGACACCATTATATACTTTTACACAAGTGACAAAATTGGTGTGAGAAGTTTTTCTCTTCATTATTAATTATATGTTTTTAATAGCTTCTCTATTCCATGGACAGGGTATACATCCATGTGCTACACATGATCCAACCGGGACTTTAATTTTAAATGGCAGAGAAAAGTCTGTAAGAAATATGAAATTGCTACTAATCCAGAAATTACTAAATAGAAATATGAAATTTCCAGTCATTATCAGTAACTACAAATATAATTGAAAGGTAAATATTTATGGTCGCGAAAACTAACTTTTGTCATAGCAGACCTAAAAATCGACAATTAGACAAATCAACTCCTAACTTTATAAAGGTGGCCCGGCCCGCATCTGTATTCTTACCGCCAGATAGAAAATTATGTTTACAATTATTTTTGAAATACTATATGAAAAGTTTGAGTAAAAACAATAATGATTTACCTTTTATTTCATAGATCGAAGACGAAATGCAGTAGGTAACGTGAAGCCGAAGGGACAAATCCTTGCACAACCACTGAACTCAAATTCTACGCAAATAAATTACACTGAAATGAACGTTCCACTTTTGATTAAATGATATAACAACACAGAAATCCTAATCAAAAATTAATTGTGTCACAAAACGTCCAATAATTAGAAATAAAATCGTTTGATAATATCATTGCCCTCATCCAAATAAAGACGTACAATTCACACAACCTCCGCCGCAAAAATCTTTACAAAACTGAAAAAAAATAGGCGTCAAGCGAGGGCGCCACTGCCGCCGGTGCCGTTCAAAGCGCAAGCGCTCTGCACATTCGTCAGCTTGAAACGGAACGCAATAGAAAATAACCATTTAATTAATTAAAATAAATAAATAATGAGTTATGTGTTTTATGGATCCTTGGTACCTACATGATAGCATTTCAAGTATTTCTATACCAGGGCACAGCACTCAGCAGGTTGTTTGGACTCGTCAATTTTATTAGATTATTAAATTTTAATGCCATCTAGGGATAATTTTTAACACTACTACAAGGTATAACAACGCGCGCCGTCTAACGACACAAATCTTTCTTGAAGGAAAACAGCCGACTAAGTTGGATGATGATTGTACGCTTTATGTTCAAATGGGGGGGCTCCACCTTTAAATGTAGCCCAGTGCGTCACACACTAATAATTACTGAAAACGAGGATGTACGAATGATGTATTCTTTGCATTCCCAATGGGAGTTCTCACTGTCAATCAGCTGTCTGTCAGTCAGCTGTCAGGCTGGAAAGTGGAAACTGTAACCATTTCGTTTACTACTGATATTTAATGTATTTCATGAAATAATTCCACATAACAATAATGTTGGAAGGTGTCAAACGTGTCATTTTAGTGCTTTCAGGTAAAGGTGGCGTAGGGAAATCTACAGTTAGTACACAGCTAGCTTTGACACTCAAAGAAAAAGGGTATAAGGTAAGGTTATATTTGTGATTACGAACAGATTTCTGTTTTCATAATACCTTTTCTAATTTCTATGTAGTCTTAGTCTTAGTAGAACGGCGGGCTGTTTCCGCAACTCGACACACAGTGCCTATTTTGCGTGGGGATTGGCATCAGTCCTGCCATCCCAGCTCTATGCTCTAATTTCTATGTATTACATTTTAGGTCGGGCTCTTAGATATAGACTTATGTGGGCCCAGTGTGCCCTATCTGCTGAATCTAGAAAACCAAAGTGTTCACCAAGGTCCTCATGGTTGGATACCAGTATATTTGGACAAAGAGCAGAGATTAGGCGTAATGTCCATTGGTTTTCTACTTAATTCCCGGAATGATGCTGTGGTGTGGAGAGGGCCAAAAAAGACTTCAATGATCAAACAGTTTTTGGAAGATGTGTGCTGGCAGGACTTGGATTTTCTAGTGATTGATACTCCACCAGGTATGTTTTTGTTTGTACACCCATATATTTCTTTTATGTGCCAAACATCTTTAAAAACATTATACAGAATTAAATTAAACTAGTTTTAACAGGTTAATGCATGATATTTTATTTATTTATTGATGTTTCACTGCCTTTTCAGGTCTGCATCGTCAGAATAATGACCTGAAAGCATGTAGACCTGAAAAGGCTGCGTAACGTGAATATATAAATAAAGTTTCATGCTAATAAAACCCATTAAAACTAGTTTTATTTAATGAGTGATGGGGGTGAAAACCTAAGAAACAAATATTATACAGAGTGATAACATAAGGTGCCAAAGTAGTGTAAGGAGATTTCTTATTACTCAAAATCAACCACCAATTATTGAAGGACAATCATTAGCCTGAAAGACTGCCAGCTGAAGACGAATTATTTTTTCCAGGAACTTCAGATGAACACATAACAGTGATGGAAAACCTACGACAGGTGCCACAATGTTCAGCTGTATTAGTAACCACCCCACAGCAGGTCGCTATTGAAGATGTCCGGAAAGAAATCACATTCTGCAATAAAACAGGGATACCTATATTTGGCATAGTAGAAAATATGAGCGGGTAGGTATTTTGAAGATCATAGCACTAAAATGTATGGTGAACTCTTCCCACCAGAAAAATAGACTTGTTCTGATACAATATCCAGTGCCTGAGATAGCTGGTAGATATAAACAATCTTCATCAGCCTGTCCTCAATGTCCCCACTGCTGGGGTCAGGCCTTCCCTATGGATGGAATAGGGAGATTGGGCCTGCCATGCGGGCCCAATGCGGATAGGCAGCTGGGACCAATGGCTTAACATGCCTTCCAAGCACAGAGGAATATGAGACAGAAGATTTTTGGTCAGCCATCCAACCAGCTTAACTGCAAAGATCGCAGCCCAACGCGCTAATCATCTGCACTGTCGAGCTCCCCCTCCTCCTCTATAAACAATATTGCTTACTAACAAAAGAATTGTAATCTTCTTTGCTTTTTCCTTGAAAAAGTTATTAGTGTCACATTGACACTTCTTTAGCTTTGATGAAACACCAAGATAAAATTAGAACATTTAGACTGTGGACTTAACTTCTTGATATTGTGTAATGTCAGTCATGTTATTGTTTCTTAGTTCCATAACTCGAGTAGTTTTGCTGCCTGTGTAAATTTTACAGAGCATTGTAGTGTTTTATTTTATTGTTTCACTGTTTTCGTTTACTATAGATCATTATCGCTAGGCCATGTGATTTTTTTTCTGTGGCTTAACAAAGCTCCTAGACCGATTCCGTTGCTTGCCTTTTGGAAGGAAGAAAAAGGGGAAAAAAATTAACGTCACTACACGACGTAATTTGTTATTCTTGTTTTGTTATTCTTTCTTAAAATTTGTTATTCACAACATGTAATTTCTTAATCAGATTTTTCTATAAGTTATGATTATAAATTATTTTTAATGGTGTGTTTTTCTAAATTGAAAAAGTGTTTTCCTTTAAAAAATATTGATAAACTTACATGTTTAACATGTGTAAATAATTGAAATTACTAGATTCTCATCTTGTAGCTAAAAATTACGTCGTTAAGTGACGTTATAATTTTCTTCCTTTTTGTTCCTTCCAAAAGGAAGGCAAAGGAATCAATCTAGAAGTCTTGTTAAGCCACAGAAAAAAAACGCATGGACTAACGAATACGGTCTATGATAAAGGAGGAAGAGGGAGTCAACCTAAACAGAGGCCTTCTATCTCTCTCTTCAACCAAACAAAATCCATGTGGCGTTTTTAGCATGTTACACCATAAAGTAATGAATTATAATTTTTGATCTTTCAGTTATGAATGCCCAAATTGCAGTGAATGTACGAATATATTCTCCAGCGGTGGTGGTCAGTCACTCGCAGAATATGCAAAGATACCTTATTTGGGCAGCATTCCCATTGACCCCAGAGTGGGCAGTTTAGCAGGCGAGGGAAAAGCGGCCATCAAGGAATTACCAGAGTCGAAAACAAGTAAAGTTTTTACCGATTTGGTTACTCAATTAACTGAATCTTCTAAAAATGGCGATATGAAGTGACATAATTTTTTTTTTACAAAACTAAAAATGTAGATATGTATTATTGATGTGAACATAGACTTTACATTGTAAGGATATTATATGATTGTTTATTTATGTTTACAGATTGTTTATAAGAATCATTGCCTTGTTAATCTGCTATAAAAACAATCAAAGTAAATAAAAACTGTTAATATTCATTCCTGAAAACACTAAGGTATTAAATAAGCTTATCATGTTATCAATCATTTATTTTTAATTGACTAATACATGTTTTTCCACCTTATTATTATTTATCAAAATACATTACAAAATAGAGTTAAAAATTGTGAACGATTCTGGCTTCCTGGGGGCCATTCGCCTAACGAAAATGCTTAGGAAAACGCGAACGCTTACTATTTCATTTTGTTATTAGCCGCCTGAGGTTTTCTTTTTCGTTTTTTTTCTTTTGCATTGGTAATAACAATATTGAAGAAATGAGCGTGAGGTATTTGAAAACCTTCGGCGGTCAGAAATAACAAAATAAAATCGAAAGCGTTAGCGTTTCCCAAACCATTTCCGTTAGGCGAATGGCCCCCTGGTTTATGTATAATCAAATGCAAAATTATTTGACACGGTCCTATAAAATTCAATTATATAAAATGTCTTTAGTAAAAATACTATTTAATAAAATATATATTAAAATTTACTACCTATTATAAATTTCCCCTAAATCTAAACATTCAAGTTACATGGAAATATGAGCTAGAATGAAAATATTAACACAACATCAACACTGGTATTTCTCTATTCCATTTCCTAAACCGACTGTAAAAAATATTTTGTATGTTACGATAATGCATAATAGGATGTTAAACTTAATAAAATAATTAACTAACCATTGTAACAATCAAATAAACAGTCTGAAATATTTATTACACAGCTAACACCAAATAAATCTTAACATCCTAATCTCTACAAACATCAAAATACAATAATGTATCTAAAATATTATAAATTCGAGCAAATATACGCATGGATACATACGTTTCTCAGGTATCATACATTTTTTACATTGATTTCATCATTATCATCATCAACAGCCTATAAATGTCCCCACTGCTGGGGTACAGGCCTTCCCTATGGATGGAATACGGAGATTGGGCCATGACCCACCACGCGGGCCCAATGCTGATAGTTGGGTGCTAGCGACTGCCGTAGCAGCCAGGACCACGGTTTTACGTGCCTCCCGAAGCACGGAGGAGTTCGAGATAGTAAATTTTTGGTCACCCATTCAATGACCGACCACTGCGAAAGTTGCTTAACTTCAACGATCTCTCTCTCAATCCATTGATTGAGCTCGATTATTTTATAGATATTGACTATTTTATGAGCACTGTATCAATGGATTCAGTGCTCATGAAGTAGTGTACTAAAATTCTACATAAACAGGAACTATATATCCTTTTTTATGAAACGGCCAACTCATTCTTCAGATATTCTTTATCGTTATTATTTAGATGTGTATATATACTGCGCGAAGTAGTAGAAATAGTTACCTATCGTCTATCTACGCACGAAAGCCATTTTGAATTATAAAATTATATAGTCGTAGTTATACGACAATTACTAATGACAAAAAAACAACATTCAACAGTTTAATTCCAATACCGAGGTAATTAAGACAGTTACAAATACTTTTTTCACCCTCTGTGATAATTTCTCTGCTTTGTTTTTAAATTCATATTTGAGTATAATGCGATTCAAGTAAGAATAGGACCGACTGGGCGCCATATTGTGATGTCATTAGCTGTCAATTCAAACCAAATAGGTAGGGTGGGCAAAAAAAATTAAGTGAGAAAAAGCATCAGATTTTTTATTTACTAAGATTGAGAAAAAAAACGTCGATTTTTAAAAATATTTATATTTCAAGACTGTGAGAAAAAACATTAATCAGAATCTAGTTCTTACCCGGAGTAGTTATGAATGATCATGCACTATTACTAGGTCACATACGAACATGCATCCTTTATGTAAACAAAAGTTTGAAATCGAGTATCTGAACGCAACTTAAAGTGACATTTGGTTGACGATTTAGGTTCATGGCTAAAAGCTCAATAAGTAAAAAAAATATCAACCGATATTAATTATCAATATTTGTTATTGTTTGTTTACAAATGTTTGGTTTTTATTCTTGAATTAGCGGAGTGCTAAAAAAGGGTTCCAAGATTTTTTTTTGCAAACCGTACTTTTCATGCGACATTTGACAGATGGAGGTCACTGGCTTTCCTATTCTTATTTGAATCGCATTATAAGCAAAAATGACTCGGTACTTAGTCATTAAATAGACAGTAATGTATCCAAAAGTTTACAAGTTTCAAAAGAAATTCAAACTGTTTTGATCCTGCACTCATATTATGACAAAGCAGAACCAAAACTTTATTGAGATTTAATTGTAAACATCAATATATCCAAGTAGAAAGTATATCTAAACTAAAATCTGCACCTATCTTTCATTTCAATCATGTCATGACTTTTGTTTAGTTAATTTTGCGAAAACATTCCATAAATAAACAGTATGTAAGATCAAAGAAAGGTCTACGTAGTGCTCAATGCAATCGCTGGTTCATCGTTGAGCCACATGAATTGCCTGATCTCTTCCTCCGACGAGGGGCAGCAATGAGGAGGCGCCTTTTGCAGCATCTCACGTAGGTCCTATATTTAGCAAGCACATGTTTATAAAGAGCTACAATGTGTACCAGACATAAACAAAATATATTGTTTTAAACTTTCATGGTCACTAACATTATAGCTATTAACGGGATTGTTAGCATCAAACCATGAATAGTGAGAACGTGACCAATGGTAGGGGTATCGAGCGCAGTAAAAGACGACGTCAGAGGGTAGACCGATATGTCTGCCAATAACATCTACCCGCAATTACTTCAGTTACTCCGTGATCATGGCGCTTGCAACAGTGCCGAAATATCGGAGACTCATAAAAAACAAGGTACATGGTAACAATCCCGTTAATAGCTATAATAAACAAAATAGATTTAAAACTAGCCAATTCTGAAACCAAAATTTTATCTAAAGAAAATATTACTTTTAAAAAAACCACTCGGCTCAAGTTTCAGACGGGACTCGCCCTTCTGCTATCAGGGTGTACGCAATGCCTTGATAGCTGAAGACGTAGGTTCGAATCCCGCCTGAAATCTGGAGCAAATGAAATATTTTCTTTAGATTAAAACATCTAGCAGGTATAATGGTTAAAAATAAAAATGATCAACATTTTGTTATAGTGAAAATGAGACAGTTTAACAATCAAATGTTATACACATTTTAAAGTATGGAGGGCCGAATTATTTCAAAAGTAGCATGTTACTCTTCCAAAACCATTGGGGGCATTATGAACGCAACATCCGTTCACGAGCATGATGCACAGCACAAGGTTTTAGGATATATATAATTTAGAACAGTACTCCCTATATTGTTGTACGTTTCAGATTCAGCCATAAAGATTAATGTCATAATGGCAGGCAGGAGTGCATGCTATGCGTAGTTATAAAATGAATCACATATTAAAAACAAAAGGATTAGTTATACATAAAAGGATTATTAAATGATTACTAGCAGGTGTATTCATAAGATACCTTTGATCCTAATTTAATAATTTTTAACTGCACCAGAAAAATGTTATTTAACTTTAATCTGTAATTTAAAGGTTCGGCCAGAAAGAGGGCGGGGCGAGACGGCAACGCGACACTGACGCGATATAAACAGTTGTAATGTATCAGTTATTATGAAATACGTCACACAGCACTAGCGTTGCCAGTTTTTTTTGCCAAGTCGGAATTTAGGAACTTTTTGAGTGAAAAAAGCGGGACATTCTTTCGTCGTAAGCGCGACATAGTAAAAAAACGTATACCTACTAATAATCAAAAGTTTTTGAATATTTATCTTTTTATTTCAGTTCAACGTTAGGGGGCGTCCATAAATTACGTGAGATGTTTAAGGGGAGGAGAGGGTCGAGTCAAATCTCATCTAATCTTACGTTGGAGAGAGGGGGGGGGGGGGGTCTCGGCAAATATCACGCAATTTTTGTTCACAGTAGTATCTATTAAGTATTCTATTGTTAAATTTTTATTACACTTATAAATCTCAGCAATATTGATTACTAGTCTTAACTAATCGTAAATAAAAGCACGAAGCATTTTTTTTTCTTTTTACAATAACAATCCAACGCGTTTACGAAAGAAACCCACATTTTGAAAAATCTCACGTGAGATTGGGGGATGGGGAGGGGGTTGAATAAAATCTCACGACATCTCACCAGGGGGGAGGGAGGGACAGAAAATCCAAAAAAACACCTCACGTAATTTATGGACGCCCCCTTACGTTTACGTGACAATAGATAGGTACCTAGCAAAAATATCCATAGAAAATGTATTTTAATAAAAATATGATATTTGATATCAGATTTACCCTATTTTTAAATAGTAGAGTCTTTGTATGCCCAGTCCTCTCTAGTCTGTGCCACCCGCCCGCGCTTTCTCAGTACGCTTCACGCACGGTCAAGTTATTCCCGAAAAGCGGGATTGAGCCTGTCCCGCGCGGGACATTTAATTTTGTTTTAAAAATTGGGACGTCTCGCCAAAATCGGCACGGCTGGCAACGCTGCACAGCACATTATGCGTCGTGTTCTATGAGTTTTCGCTTTAGTAGTCACATAGACTGTATTTGAATACAGGAGGCCTACTCTATTTCAACGAAAATTGTGTCAACTCTACAAATTAGTCGGCTAACACTGTCAAAGAAGGTTCTTGTAATTTCATCAAAAATTTTGTTGTAATGTAATACTGTTTCCAAGTAAAACAGGTAGGTAATCCAAAAAGTAGAGAAAAAAAGGACTCGCAAACATGACTCTTTCCATTCGTTCACGAAAATTGTTTGTGATTCCGAACTTTATGTGAGTGTTCGAAAATAAAATAGAGTCACTGGCGAAATTTCGTTTAAAATTCGTTCTTTGCCGAAATTTCGTTTCAGAAGAAGAGAGTAGTGCTCCAGGACGGTGGTTTTGAAACGATTTTGATGTTGATGAAAAGGTGTGACGTCATGTCTCGAATCACGTTAGTTCAATGTTCCGCGGTGTTTGTGAAGTGAGGTCGACGGGTTCGTTCGACTCCGCCCTGACACCTGACCAGTGCGCCCTGCGCCGCCGTCGAGCCACGGTAATATTATCTATACAGTATTGTGACTCCGCCCTGTCCTTCAAAATAAATGCCTACACCGAACGCTGCGTTGGCACGCGGTAGGGCCGCCAGCCTACAGTATTTTATGTAGTTTTGTTTTTAACGCGAGTGTAGGTAGATTACTCGTTTGTCTCTTTTTTCATCCTAACCACTTATTTATATATTATTCCAGATATTTTGCCCGATGGAAAAACCGAAATACCTAAAATTAGAAACAAATAACGTACTAGTAGATAGGTATGTAAAAAATATTCTATAAAGGTAAGACACCTTTCCAATATTTCAGGTTATTTAAAAAATGATATCTCTGGGTGTGTTATTGAAGAGTTCAAGCAACCAAAAACAGTAATTGTGCTGTTGTACGATATTGATCGTCGTTTGTTCTTTTCCATACTAAATTATGTAGGTATCTACTTAATTAAATCAAATATTTACAATACAAAACGCACGTTTAAGCACGGCTAACTGCATAAAAAACAATTCAGACCGTTCGGTCGTCGTTGCGGCGCGGCGGCGCATTCGCGACTGGGTGCCCGCCGAGAGCCCATCGAACTCGAGTGGCGTAGGTATGACTCGCTTTCCGACCGTTTGTATGAAGATAGAATACTGTATGATATTATTACCGTGGTCGAGCTGTCGTCCATAACTAGGGCCGCCATCCCTCCGGGTTTTCCCGGATTTGTCCTAGTTTACGCGGCGTCCGGGGAGCGTCCGGGCGGGGTTTTATTTGTAGTCCGGGTTTAAAAATTTACGGCAACGCATAAATGGCCTTTGGTGCTGCAGGTAGACCGCTAGCTCTCTTGCCTAGATCAACATAAAAAAGTTGATTTGTGATATTTTAACTGTTTTTTATTGGTCTGTCCGGGTTCTGGGCTCCAAAATCCGGGGTTATCACGCGTCTTATCCTGGTTGCAACATTTTAGAGATGGCAGCCCTATCCATAACTATCTAACTTCAACTACCCCGCGATTTTCAATTAAATATTTGATGGAATACTTCAATTGTCATATTTGAAAGATAATATTATATTTATCGATTGTTGATTGAAGTTTGTAAAATCTTTCACATTGAAGGGTATTGTGAATTCAACTAAGAATATAAGGGGTCGCATAACATTTCTCTGGTCTAGCTTTTTCATAAAGTAATAGGGAATAATATTGCTCGTAAGTTGCACTCAGACCCAGAAAATTTAACCGTCATATTAATGAAACCGATGTGCTTGGAAAAAAGTTCTAGATTTTTTTTGTAACTACATAACATCCATTAACTCTTTAGTAGTAGGTATATGTAACAACTTTAAGCACCGTAAGGTAAACCTCAATTTGGGCATATTAACAATAACAGGATCACTAAATTAACAACAACTAAAAAATAACTCATCATGTATTCATTTAATCATAATATCGCAGGAGGGAAGTTAAAAAGAATGCATTATGACGAGTATGTGGGAGGAATTTGGTGCAGAAGTCTTAGATTAAAACAAAGGGAAGATACGGTACGCTCATACTAGCATCAAATTCCACATTTCCGGATGAGGTACCAGGAACTTGGTTGAGTTCAATGCCAAGAAAACTCAGGTTTGCGCTTTCACGGCAAAAACATTGCCATTCCTTCCCCTTCCCTCTCTTCAGGACACAACACTGGCGCTACAGAGCAACATAACAATATTCACAATGCTCGGTATGGAAGTTCGCTCAGACCTAAATCCAAAGGACTACATCGAAACCGTGATCAAAACAGCTTCACGCAAATTCGGAGTCCTGAACAAGGTGCGGCGTTTTTTCACGCCCGATCAACTGTGCTTGTTGTACAAAACGCAAGTGCGGTCCTGCGTGGAATATTGCTCTCACCTCTGGGATGGCTCCGCTAAGTATTTACAAGATGCCTTGGATAGGTTGCAGCGGCGCGCTGCCCGCAACATTGGCGATGAGGAAACTCGAGACTACAATAACGCCGCGATGTGGCATCATTAGGCGCATTCTACCGACTATACCACGGCGAGTGTTCTGAGGAGTTATTCTCCCTTATGAGATAATGGTGTCGATTCTGGCGTGATTCTCTAAACTTAAAACTAAATTTAACATCAGTCTCTCCTTTTCATTCTGTATAGAGAACGACAAGGATACACCGTTGTCAAATTTAAGTTTAGCTTTAGAGAATCATGCCAGAATCGACATCAATATCACCTTTTCTTCAGAGGACCACGCGCTCTGGCCTACATTGCCACCGACTTACTGTGGCCACTATTCCTACACGAAGAAAGAAATTTGGTGACTCCTTTCTTTGTTATACTATTCGTAAGTGGAATTCTTTGCTCGCGCACGTGTTCCTTCCTTCTTACAATCTGGGGTCCTTTTAGAGAGCCGTGAAGAATCATTTTTGCAGACCGGCAAGGTGAGGATGGTTGGTGTAACAGTTTATAACTGGTCTACCAGCTGGCTTCGCGTTTGGAATTTATCACAACTTAACATCAGGTGTGGGGTCGAGTCATTTGCTTACCTGGCTATGAAAAAAAAAACAAAGAAATGTTCCGACTCAACTACATAAGCAACTCTCACCCACGCACACTTCTGTAAATAACATTAAATCGAGCGAGCGAGACAGAACTGTACCCTTAGCACGAACCAATATCGAATTCGTAACGTTTGAGAGTCCGAAATGTCATTGCCAAATGTGTACTAATTTTTAGTTGTGACGTCCGTTAGTGCGCTGCTGTTCAAGTTACGGTTTGCAAACTATTCGAATTCAATAATGGTTCGTGCTAGAGGTACTGTACGCTTCGACGCAGCGCAAGCGAAATGGCGAGCCCGCGTCGCTTGGCAGCCGACTGAGTTTTCTTTTCTCTCTCTAGAAACAGCTGAGCTGTATTGTTGTCCTTCATAACAAATGGCGAATATAACTAAATCATGAACCGTGATTTTAAGACAGAAAAAAGTTTTTTCATCCCACCACCTCGGAAAGTGTAATTTTGCGCTTCGAAATCTGGCTGGAAAATTCTATTTTATTCGCTTGAGCGGCAAAGTAGATTTGAATTTAGAACATCACATATAATGAGTACTCAATATAATTGTAAATTCAAAACGTCATTAAACCTATTTAATGTAACCTCTATGGTGCCAAATTTATGATTAGAACTTTTTAAATTGTGAAAAAATTTAAATTTGGAACCTTCTTGGTTTCTTTGTTTTATTTGCGTGCTTCGCGCCATTCTAGTTTTTCACGTTTTATTGCTTAAATATTTTGTCATTATAAATTGTTTTCTTTTTCATTTTGTCATTTCCTCGCTGAGGTGGGATGAAAAGTTACGTATTGCACTCGAGTGGAAAGATTTTTCACCTTGTGCTCGTTTGTTTCCCTCGCTGACGCTCAGGATTCTAATTTAGAATCACTCGCTGCGCTCGTGATTCAACTTTAGAATCCTTCGCTTGCTCGGTCATCCAAATCGAGCACGCGGTTAAAAAGGAACTTTCCACTCTTGTATAATAAATAACTATTATAATTTTACGAATGAAGTGTTGCCGTGGAATTTGTTATTTGACCTTCAACTATTCGAGTTCTTTTTAAAAGCATCGAGTGCATTGTTTTATCTTTATAACACAGAATATATGCAATATTGTTAAATTGAGTACACATACATACAGCACGTTTGGAGGCCAAATTGTGTTAATGCACCACAATTTAAGCGGTACACTTTTGAGCCGCTAGTGCCGTAACTTACCTTTTTTGTTTTAATCTAAGGTACAAGATAACTGGCAGACTTGATTTCATCGCAATTAGCTATTAGTGCCGTATTTTCCCTTTTTGTTTTAATCTAAGGTACAAGATAACTTGAATTCATCGCAATTATCTTCTTTATTTCAAAATTATCTCTCTACCCTCAAAAGAAAAAGTCGTGAATCTATGTAGCTAAAATGTATTCCGCACAAAGATTTTTATATATGTAAATCATTGAACGTATGCGTCTGCGCACGTAACGAGCGTGTTTTGTACGAACCCTGACTACTTTCAACCATTGTGCCTTGTCGGGCCGCCCAATCTTGTACAACGTTCGTCTTAAGGTCTGAGGAAGAACACAGCTATCTTGGGCGATATCACATACCACAGGCACTTCCCATCAATAATATAATTTAAAACCTTCATGGTCACTAAAATTATAGTAATGAGGATCCGTAACGATTTAAATTGAGAATGCAGATTTATAGAGCTAAGGCGTCCATAAAATACAGTGGTTAAATTATTGTTCTACGACAAATATTGACGAAGTTATGACCAAATTACTAAACGAATTTTCGGCTGGCCGCGTGGTGACTGTGACGTCACAGAGCTCTACCACTCAGGCGCAAGCGTGCGTAGAGACGCTCCTAAAGTTCGAGTGAACCACGATCGAGCTCTGTGACGTCACACGTTTCGGCCGCCGATAAGTATTGGCTACAATAAAATTAGTTATAAAATCGCAACGAATGTTGCCTACCCTGCCCAATCCCCTACCTCGTGGAGCCCTGGAATCTTACTCACCGACAGAACCAACAATAGGTAGTGTTACCTTACTGTGGTCAGTGCCGTCTTTGACCTATTGGAGGCCCAGGGGGCCATTCGCCTAACGGAAATGCTTTGGAAAACGCTAACGCTTACGATTGCATTTTGTTATTTCTAGCCGCCTGAGATTTTAAAAATGCCTCGCGCTCTTCTTTTTCTTTTGCATTGGTAATAACAATATTGAAAAAAATGAGGGTGAGGTATTTGAAAACCTTCGGCGGTTAGAAATAACAAAATAAAATCGAAAGCGTTAGCGTTTTCCAAAGCATTTTCGTTAGGCGTATGGCCCCTTGGGCATATTAGGATAATGGGGCCCCTACGACCGTCGTTTGGTGATTTAACAGGAACTAGGGACTTTGTATTCGATCTGAGGGGGGGCCCCTATCGATCGCGGAGCCCAAAGTGCCCACTGGGAAAGAGGGCTCTGACTGTGGTCTTCTGTGAGGAAGAAGTTACTTCTCCAGATGGGATTTACCTTACCTATCCTAACAAGTACGATGATCACGGAGTAACTCCAGTCAGTGATGAAGTCAGTTCAGTCAGTCAGCCAAAATTATGGAAACTCGCCAACGATATTTAATACCCTAGATACACCACGTGCGCTCAAAATGTGTGCCAATCAGGAAGTGCTTGAACACGATTCAAGCACTACTTGGTTCCCAGTCACGCGCGAACTGTTGTAAAGTCAAGATGACGCAGAGCTCCGTGAAAAAATGCGAAATAAATACTTATAGTACGTAAAATGACGTTTTTTTTGACAGATATCTAATAAAAGTTTGTTCTAATACTTACTATATAAACTGATTTGATAGAAAATATTTGTGATATTCAAATGCATGGTCGGTAATATAGCCGTCCCTTGTCGCGGTCCGTATCTGCTATATTGCTAACAGCGCATTCAAAATTGAGCGTAGAGTCAAAGAAATAAGGTCTATATTCTTCAGCATATAGCAATAGGTCGTAAAATTTTACGAGCTTGTTTTTTGAACTGTCATAACTCTTTGACGCAAGCGTTTTAATGAAGACCTTATAAAATATGCATTAAAGGTGACTTTCAATGTTTAAATAATGTCTTATATTGTTTTTGACTACGCGATCATCTTACGGAGCTCCGTGTATCGTCCAACGTACCTTTTGGACAGGTTTCGGCCACGATTTTGTTCGTGATGTTGTATCTAGGGTATTTAATATATTAAATTATATTTATTCAATATCGTTGAAACTCGCAAAAAAGGGGAACACCATAGAAATCCCGCTAATTACCATAACCTCTCATCAACTTCTGACGTAGGTCAATCTTTACCAAGCGGAGAAATCGTAGATTATTCGAAATTCGATACAGTATCCCATAAATATATGTGTATTGATATTGTCCACACGTTTGAAATAAGTTGTCTAACCATCATATACATCAGTTCTTTGTGTGTGTATATATTTTCAACCGACTAATAACCAAATTACTGGACTTTCCCTATGATGATGGAATTGGGTAATCTGGTCCAACCTGATGACATGGCCTACCATAACGGGTCTAGTGCGGATTGATATGCGATCAAGACTGCAGACGCAGCCTAGACCAACGAAACAAAGCAACTTGGAAATCTCGGCGAAGCTCGATAAAAAAAAATGGTCACCCATCCTATGACTGACCGTTGCGAAAGTTGCATAATTTCCACGATCGCTGACGTTTATGTGGCCTAGGTATAGAATTGTGGCGCCGTCATCTATATGCCCCACATATATACAAGGGATGAAGGAAATCATTACTCACCATCCTCAAGAGATGGCGTTACCTGCACTGCGATCATAATAGTATGGAAGCCTGCATCGCGCAAATGAAATACGGAAGCTAAATCTTCATATATACATACAACGGATGAAAGGATATTTGGCCTTTCTACAGAATAATGATATTATTACCTTCATAGCGAATCTGTTCCTCTCTGCGGCGACTAGGTGGTTGACCATAGGTGCTGGATAATCCTTGCCGATTATGCAGTTGGCTTGTTCCTGGACTTCTATAGGAGCTTTCCAGGGTTCGTAGCTAGGTAAAGGAATATAAATATCATCTATAAATATATAAAATGGTAGAAAAGTCAAAACGGTACATTGAATATTTTTTTAAAAGAATACTTGGGGTGTGATCTACAATCGATACCAAAGACAAAAATATAGTTTTTAGAATGTTTGTCTGTATATATATATGTCCGGGATAAACTCAAAAAGTACTGCATGGATTTACTTCAAATTTGGCACGAATATTATTAAGAAGTCGGGTCAACATATAGGCTACACATATCACGCTATCACCTACGGGGAACGAGCAGTGAACCATTATTTCTAACTAACTCGGCCGCTAGTTATAAATACAGTAAAAATGGCGGAAGCCCGCGACTTTAGCTTTCCGAGAATCCCTCAGGAAGCTAACTAAATTCCGGGATAAAAGGAATTCTATGCGTCAATCTAGGTAATAAATAAATTACATACCAATTTTCAGCCAAATCCGGTCAGCCGATTCAGCGTATTTGACTAAAAAACACCCATACAAACTTCGATTTTATGATATTAGTAGGATTTTTTTTATTTTTTTATTATTTGCAAATAAATAAAACTAGTTTTAATGGGTAAATGCACGAACTTTATTTATTTAATAACGTTTCGCAGCCTTTTCAGGTCTGCATCGTCAGAATAATGATTTTTTATTTACTTTGTCGAGCTACCTTCGAAAGACTTTTATTGAGCGTTCGGACCGACCGACCGATAAAATTCTTTTTCATGATACGGATCATTTTAGAATGAGCCGCACCACTCAACCTTTATCGCGATCCGCAGTGTTCTGGTAATTTTTGTCCAGTATTTTCACGGTTAAGTTTCGAGAGTGTTTGTGACTTTATTATGTATTCTAAATACAAGCCTTACTTTGGGGCTAGGCTAATTGGTGTGTGTCAGATTTTTTAAATAACTGCAAATCTACACTTTAAAAGTATGGTATGTCTTATTTCTTAAACTCACATATAGCGGTCGGGCACTCGTGCCAATGCGGGTAGATAGCGACGCACGTATTCCCCACTAGGGTCTAATCTTTGCCCCAATCTCACGGGGCAAGCACAATCCCCAGAGTCCAGCAACGCTTCGAACGCGGATGAAGATACCCACATCCAGTTTCCGGCGCATACAGACCTGAAGAAAGAAGCTTAATATGTATTCAAAATTGCGTGTGGTTTCATGAAAATCCGTTGCAAGTGAAGCTTTTTTGAAAATCATTAATAAAAAAAAATGTATGCACGGACCGCACCGCATCTGAAGTGAAACTTCTTTTCTTATATAACCTAACATTAGGCGGTGCATAAGGCATAGGGGAATGGAGCAGCGCCCGCATCACTCATATAAGAGGAGCTGGCTTGGGAGCTGACGAATAAAAACGGTATAATTACGCATCTGGTCAAACTACTTGTTTTACAATCCGGAGGTTTCGAACCGAAAGTGCTGTAACCCATGTTCCCAGGACAGCCACAAGGATCCCCTAGTCAGGATGGAGACCCCAGTGTTGCCATATACTCACCAGTCTGCATCCAGTAGATACTACAGAAAGTTCTGTAACCCATGTTCCCAGGACAGCCACAAGGATCCCCTAGTCAGGATGGAGACCCCAGTGTTGCCATATACTCACCAGTCCGCATCCAGTAGATACTTCAGAAAGTGCTGTAACCCATGTTCCCAGGACAGCCACAAGGATCCCCTAGTCAGGATGGAGACCCCAGTGTTGCCATATACTCACCAGTCTGCATCCAGTAGATATTTCAAAAAGTGCTGTAACCCATGTTCCCAGGACAGCCACAAGGATCCCCTAGTCAGGATGGTGACCCCAGTGTTGCCATACACTCACCAGTCTGCATTCAGTAGATACTTCAGAAACTGAAACCCATGTCCCCAGGACAGCCACAAGGATCCCCTTGTCAGGATGGAGACCCCAGTGTTGCCATATACTCACCAGTCCGCATCCAGTAGATACTTCAGAAAGTGCTGTAACCCATGTTCCCAGGACAGCCACAAGGATCCCCTAGTCAGGATGGAGACCCCAGTGTTGCCATATACTCACCAGTCCGCATCCAGTAGATACTTCAGAAAGTGCTGTAACCCATGTTCCCAGGACAGCCACAAGGATCCCCTAGTCAGGATGGAGGCCCCAGTGTTGCCATATACTCACCAGTCCGCGTCCAGTAGATACTTCAAAAAGTGCTGTAACCCATGTTCCCAGGACAGCCACAAGGATCCCCTAGTCAGGATGGAGACCCCAGAGTTGCCATATACTCACCAGTCCGCATCCAGTAGATACTTCAAAAAGTGCTGTAACCCATGTTCCCAGGACAGCCACAAGGATCCCCTAGTCAGGATGGAGATCCCAGTGTTGCCATATACTCACCAGTCCGCAACCAGTAGATACTTCAAAAAGTGCTGTAACCCATGTTCCCAGGACAGCCACAAGGATCCCCTAGTCAGGATGGAGATCCCAGTGTTGCCATATACTCACCAGTCCGCAACCAGTAGATACTTCAAAAAGTGCTGTAACCCATGTTCCCAGGACAGCCACAAGGATCCCCTAGTCAGGATGGTGACCCCAGTGTTGCCATATACTCACCAGTCCGCATCCAGTAGATACTTCAGAAACTGAAACCCATGTTCCCAGGACAGCCACAAGGATCCCCTAGTCAGGATTTAGACCCCAGTGTTGCCATATACTCACCAGTCTGCATCCAGTAGATATTTCAGGAAGTGCTGTAAACCATGTTCCCAGGACAGCCACAAGGATCCCCTTGTGAGGAAGGAAGCTACAGTATTCCTCACGACGTGATGCAGCCAGCCTTCGGTAAGGAGTTGCCGCATCGCCGCGTCTACGAATGGGAAGCCGGTTCGGCCTTCTTTCCATCTTCAAGGGGAAAATATACGAAGATTAGGATAACAAATAATAATAATAAATATTTCCAACACTCCCACCAATTACCTAGCCCCAAGGTAAGCACTGTAAGGCTTGTGTTATGGGATGCTCGGGTAACGGATAGAATACATTAAACAGTACATATATAAGTATATTTATACAGAAATACATATGAAACATCCATGACTGGAGTACAAATGCTCGTATTCATCACACGAACATCTGCCCCCACCGGAACTCGAACTCCGGACCTCTCGAGTCGGCGACACCATAAAACCCGGCATACAAACCACTCGACCACGGAGGTCGTCAATCTTTTTTAAATTAACGTAAAACCTGATTGAATTTGATTTTACAAGACTAGCTTCTGCCCGCGATTTCGGCTATGTAAATTTTAGTTTTTTGAGAATCAGGAACCAAAACTTTCCTAGAATTAAAATATTCGTATGTTTCAATCCGGGTAATAACTATGTCCGTTTGTTAAGCTTATGTTTATTATTTAAATTAAATATTGCAGTCACTGGAACAATTCGGAAAAAAAATACGCCCCTGCCTCTACTGTTATTTCTTGGAGCTTTTTCCATACATCTTCACTTTTTATTGGCTTCGGAGCAGTAAACATCACAGATATTATCGACGTCTGTGTTTCATTTGGGCACCCATTTCACAAAAATCTATTAGGGAATATCTATTTAAAGTTAATTTGCACAACATTAATGAAATCAGTATTTGGATGCCATGTTTCTGTACAAGATTTAACAATCACATTGACTCAGCTCAACTTGTGCAGAGTATTGTGCTCAAAGTTCCTCGTTTCTCCTCACGTTCAAAGGATACCTTTTATGTTTCGAGTTGCCATACCAACTATGCTAGAGAAACCATTTTTTGACGGACATGTAATTTTTACAATAAGAACTTGAATGAAGCAGATATTTTCAGTGATTCACTTTACAACTTCAAAAAGAAAGTGAGTGAATTATTGTTTAAATAGTATTACATGTGCGGCGGCGATGTATATCTTAAGTTTACAGTTATCCGTCACTTTTATGCCGTATTGAATATAATTATTATATATCAATTAATGGTACTTTAGGTCTATTTGTAAACATAAATTGTAAAATTGTTTGTATAAGACTGTTTGTTACCTAAATTAAATAAATAAATCGATTTAATTGAACCCATTAACATTTTATAGTTTGTATAAACTCACCTCTGCAACTCATCTCCTTCAGGGCTCTTCCACGGGATGTCCAAGCAGATGGGATTGCCAGCCATCTGGCCGTAGTTCGGGTTATTCACACTCATCGTGTAGAAATATTCGCGCCATATTAACTGACCTACAAATCGGGCGACAAATAAATAAAGAAATCAGCTGATCTAGGGTTAATTCCGTAATATATACCAGTATACTGGCCAGTGCTAATGACGTCATGGATCGACGCTATACTGGTGAATTGTTCCGAAATATATTGGTCAGTGTACTGACGTCATAAATCGACGAAATATTAAAAATAGTGCGAATAAAGAAGATTTTTTTATTGACCTCATCAATTAAAAGGAATTACTTTTATTCGCATGCCATTATTGTTCTTTAAATAAAAAAGAAATAAAATTCGAATGCATCTCACGCACGCTCGGTCATACGTCAAATTCGTTTTCCCGGTAAAAATATGGTAGCATACTAGTACAAGATGGCGTCGGATTCGTGACGTCATTACCATTGGCCAGTATACTGATGTACATTTCGGAATACACTCCTAGATATGTTTGGATTCGTTTTTTTTTCATATTATTCTAGTGTCATTAATCACAAAATCAAAAGAGAGAACAAAATGAAAACTGTTACAAATATCACTGTGCAAAGAACTGCATGTTCGGACAAATAGTTTCATACAATCAAGACGCATAAGTTTTAGTAAGTCAAAGTAAATATAAGTTCAGAAAAAATGTATCAACGAAAGTCGGGGTAAAATTGCTCAATAAAACTTTAAAATGTTAGGTATTGCCAATACCTAACATTTCAAAGTATTATTTAGCAATTTTGTATCAACGAAAGGCGGGGTAAAAATTGCTGATAAAAACTTTAAAATGTTAGGTATTGGCACCCTTTGCCTCTATATTAATTAAAATTGGATTTGAGTAAATACTTAAAATAGTTGCGTTAAACAGAAATACAACCTTCATATTAAATTATTGAGAAGGTCGATGGCGCAGGCGGTTAGAGCGTTCGGCTGCGATCGTTGAAGTTAAACAACTTTCGCAGTGGTCAGTCATTGAATGGGTGACCAAAAATCTTCTATCTCGAGTTCCTCCGTGCTTCGGAAGGCACGTTAAGCCGTTGGTCCCGGCTGCATCTGCGGTCGTTAGCACCCGCCAATCCGCACTGGGCCCGCGTAGCGGGTCATGGCCTAATCTCTCTATTCCATCCAAAGGAGGAGGCCTGTGTCCCAGCAGTGGGGACATTAATAGGCTGATGATGATGATGATTTAGTTACTGGACCAGCAAAATATTTATATATTTCTAGGATTTAAAACAGTGACTCACCTGTTATATAATGTGTGGAAGACAGTCGACCTTGGTGTACTTTTTGAAAGAGATCTTGTACCGACCAGTAAAATCTGAAAACATTGGTTCTCTCCTATTTATGTTAATTTTGGGTTAAAATTTTCCCAAAAATTTCCATCACCCACTATGATAATAATAACAATAATTATAATCATTTATTTATTTAATAAAAAAACAAATACGGTTTAACAAATAAAAGGCACAAGATATTTAAAAGCTAAGGAACAGATCCTTAGCAAAATCTCGTGCCTTTTATCTTGATACTCGTTTGCGAGTCCGAAATGTCATTGTCAAATGTGTACTGATTTTAAGTTCTCGTTACGTCAATTATTTTTATACAAAATATGAAGTTGACATTTCTCACTAGCATACTATTCGAATTCGATATTGGTTCGTGCTAAGGGCTCTACAGTACCCTTAGCACGAACATTACCGAATTCGAATAGTTTGCGAGTCCGAAATGTCATTGTCAAATTTTGTATGGAAACTTGAACAGCAGCGCCACAATAATGGGCGTAACGAGAACTAAAAATCAGTACACATTTGACAATGACATTTCGGACTCGCAAACTATTCGAATTCGATGTTGGTTCGTGCTAAGGGTACTGCAACCTTGGCACGAACCAATATCGACTTCGAATAGTTTACGAGTGCGAAATTTCAATCGCCGGGATAAACGGCTTATAGTAAAAATAGTACTTATAACTACAAGGCTACAAAACAATGAGATTGACTAATGTATTTGGTCGAGCACCATAAGGATGGTTTTAGTTTAATTGGTAAAATTATGTTTCTATTCTGTTATGTGTGGCGATATACCAGGAAAAGTTCTCGCGCCCACTTATCTGTGGGATGGATGTCGCCGTGGCTGAGGGCACTGGCTGGTTACCGGAACAGACATTGTTTATGGTGCCTTTCGTGTAATAAGTGACTTACTGGCTTCCTTCAACAACTGTCAATACGACTTTTCTCTCGGACACTATAAGATCATTGAAATATTCGTGAGGATGTACAAAATATAATTGTGACGTGCGCCTTCTGGAATGACGGCAAAGCAGGGTCCAGCCGCCTGAAGCTACGCCCGTCGGAGACCACGCAACCCATCGTCCTGGAGGTAAGTGAGCACTTCCTTTTTCCTGGTACTGAACCACATCTTTATATATATAATTCTTCTGTGAGTGTGTATGTCACTGAACTTCTCTTAAACGACTGGACCGATTTTGTTGAAATTTTTTGTGTGTGTTCAAGGGGATCTGAGAATGGTTTAGATTCACAATTTTGTCCGCTGGACAACCCCTATTTTTTTAGGGCGGTACGAAGTTCGCTGAGTCAGCTAGTAATTTATAATTTCGGTGTAAGCCACCCCAGGTATGGGCTTTTACACGCGCCACACCAGTATTGTTACAATAAACTCACCGTCTCACAGAGAGGCAGCCGAATCGCAACGCCGGACTCAACGATATGGGCGGCCCGAGTAGATCCGGGTTGCCGTGAGTAGGCAAGTACGAACCCCTGAAGTAAACGAAATAATCATAAAAACAACATCACCTAAGGCACCTAATGGGGAAGAAAACTGCCAATTTATCCTACCAGAGGCAAAGTCAAATTTGACAAAAAATGCGATTCAAATAAGAATAGGAAAGCCAATGACCTCTATCTGTCAAATGTCGCTTGAAAAGAACGGTTTGCAAAAAAATACGTGGAACCCTTTTTTAGCACTTCGCTAATTCTAGAATAAAAACCAAACATGTAAACTATTATATATAGATATTTTTTTTTCACTTATTGAGCTTTGGCCATGAATAGTTGATAACCTGAATCGTAAACCAAATGTCACTTTAAGTTGCGGTCAGAAACTCGATTTCAAACTTTCGTTTACATAAAGGATGCATGTTCGTATGTGACCTAGTAATAGTGCATGATTATTCATAACTACTCCGGCGGTAATGCAGAGATGAGCGGAATAGAAGAGCTAGATTCTGATTAATGATTTTTCTCAGTCTTAATAAATAAATAAATCTGTTGCTTTTTCTCACTAAATTTTAGTAAATAAGTTTTATTAAATAAAAACTTTTTTTTGCTCACTCTACCTATTTAGTTTGAATTGAAAGCTATGACATCACAATATTGCGCCCAGTCGGTCCTATTCTTAGTTGAATCGCATTACATGTTTTATAGTTATATATTTTTAAGTATTTAACTGCTCGATGTTTATATCTAAAGAAAATATAACTAGAAAAAAATCCACGCGGACCAGGCGGCAGACGGGACTCGAATATATGTTTTATGTCAAAATTCAAACGTAAGGGTAAAGTTGCACTCGGAGCATAAGTTGGAACGCACCCTTGAAGTGACATGTAGGACACGATATCGAATCTGATACATTACTCATAATAGTACTTTAGATTTTATACTAGTACTTTAAACATCGATACTTTTATTCGATACTCTATATTAATGTGAGCACTTTGCAATGCTGGCTAAAATAATGTGTACCTGCAGAATGTCTCGTACTCCACGTTGAGCCGCTGTTGCATCTGTTTCAGTGCAGCCGTTTCTCCCCCCACCCATCGGATCATACGGATGTCCTCGTTCTCCAGGAACACGCCCAACTCTTCGGGCTTCGGAGTCTACGATCATAAACTTCGAACATCTCACTGGCCTTTTTATAAAACATAAGTTATTATCCGCCTTATTTCAAAACATGGACTAAAGTTAGTCTTGGTTTAAACCTAATGTTGTCTCTGTCTTCATTTAGCAAACAAAAGTGACAGCATCAGTTTAAGTTTAAGTTTTGTAAGAAGAGAAAATGTTATGTTTTCATTTCTTTTTAAGCATTTAACTGCTAGATGTTTAAATCTAAAGGAAAGTTTTACTAGAAAAAATCCACGCGGACCAGGCAGCGGACGGGACTCGAACCCGCACCCTTCGCAATCCGGGCGAATGCACTGACCAATTATGCTACGACGGCCCTGATGGCCGCCGATTTTTTCTAGTAAAACTTTTCTTAAGAGAAAATGTGTTTAGAATGCACGGGTTTTCTAGAAGTGTTCTGAGGAGTTATTATCAACTTTCCTTCAGAGGACTACGCGCGCTGGCCTACGTTGCCACCGACTTACTGTGGCCACTTTTTCTACACGAACAAAAAATTTTGATGACTCATTTCTTTGTCGGACTATTCGTAAGTGGTATTCCCTCCTTCCTACAATCTGGAGTCCTTTAAGAGAGGCGTGACGAAGCATTTTTGCAGGCCGGCAAAGTGAAGATGGTTAGTGTGGCAGTTTATAACTGCTGTACCAGCTATCTTCGCGTTTGGACTTTATCACCACTTAACATCAGTTTGCCCCCTCGGCCGGGTTCGAATCTCAGAGTTAATGATGCTACCTATGGTAACCCGAGTTACCAGTCCAAGCGGCCCATAGACTACGAGCAATATTGGTAATTTAAAAAAAATAAATCAATTTTAAGTTTTTTTTTTACTTTTTTGCAAAAAACTTAAACCGCCGGAAAAGCTGATCCCCAAATCGAAAAATAGACTTAACCACCCCTAAGTCATTTTAAAGGACCTATTCAACGATACCCCACACGATGGAGTAGATGATGAATAAACAAATCACCCCACTTTGCTTTGTGACTCCACGGGAAGCTACCCTAAAAAAACAGATTTTCTTCCAAATTTATATTGGACCAACTTCGGAGTATGCCCTTTTCAATAAAAAAATAATTATCAAAATCAAAGTTCTCTGTAAAAAGATATGCGTGATCGATCATATATATATAAAAAAATAAGCGACGAATCGATAACCTCCGCCGGTTTTTTTGTCGGTTGAAAACTAAAGACTTTTTGTAAAACAATAGTCAAAAAATCATAATAATTTACTCCATCCCCTCTAGCATGACCACCGAAACGGGATATGATAAAGCGATATATCGGCATTAACTGTCAGACTACAGTGGAGTTTGACAGAAATCTGACATATCGGCATTAACTGTCAGACTACAGTGGAGTTTGACAGAAATCTGACATATCGGCATTAATTGTCAGACCACAGTGGAGTTTGACAGAAATCTGACAGTTAATGGCGATATATCGCTTTATCATATCCCGTTTCGGTGGTCATGCTAGAGGGGCTGGAGTAAAGAAACCACGTGTACCTTATCGAAAACCGTGAACTCTTGATAGAAGCACTCGGGTAGGGCTCCAAACTTGACTCCGCACAAATCCGCGTCCACCACAGGCCGAGGTGGATCGCCGATCGTGTCAACTGTATGCTGGAGTAAACATTTAACGTTAATCTATACATAATTATAATAAAACTAGCAAACCAGTGAACCAAATGTTCACCAAAACCTGATTTAAAAAAAAAATGTATTTAATTAATTGAGAACTTCGGAGATTTTGTGTGGTTTCGTTTGAAATAGAAATCACGTGATTTCTTGAAAACCGGAAGTGCTACGTTACTCAAATCCGGTTTGTAGTCTTATCAGACTATTCTTAACTTATAACTTAAATATTCTCTTTATCTATCTCTTACGGTTTGGCCGCTGAAACAGCACCACAGACAGACGGACGGACGGACTTGTCTAATAGATAAGAGATAGTAGGAAAGTCAAAACTGTACATTGAATATTTATTAAAAGACTACTTGAGGTGTGATCTACAATCGATACCTTTTAGAATTTTTGTCTTTGTCTGTAAGAATGTATGTCCGGGATAAACTCAAAAAATACTGCATGGATTTACTTCAAATTTGTCACGAATATTATTTAGAAGTCGGGTCAACATATAGGCTACATTTTATCACGAAATTTTACCCCTAAGGGGGAAATACGGGAGTTACAAGTAACATTCGTCTTCCACACCCTTACTGGTTGACTCGTAGAGAATGTCTATGGCATTAAGTCCGCCATTTACTGTATTTTGGTAAAGAAGAATAAAATAAATAAATATGTATGAAAGTCCTATGTTTTTGAAGTAACAAACTTGAAATTTAGCATGTATGCTCTATAGATGGTGTAAAGGTGTACTAATAAATGTATCTTTAGAAATAAACCCCCTTATGGGGTGAAAAGCACAAAGGTGCAAATAACTAACTTCACGCGTACAAAGTCGCAGGCGGCCGCTAGTAAGTTCATATTCTTATCAACTGACCCTTAAATTTGATATCCATTCCTATTGTCACGAACAATAGGGACACAGATTTGTACAGAACGTCGCGGCTGTTGCTAAGTACTTAAATACGAAGAAATTGTGGGGCTCACGAATATGAGCCTTAGCAGTGCAGCGTAAGGTGAAATGTGTAATGACGCTACCTGCGCGTAGGTACCAGTTGGTAACAGGTAACTCTCAATTGGATTGGATGTATCAAGAATACATCGATTAGCGTATATAAGGGCGGACGGCTTCAGCTCAGCGTAGTGACAGTTCAATTTCAAAACGATTTCGGAATGGTTACTGTTGTGTATCCAAACGTTGACCTCTCGCTTGCACCTCACTAGGTGCATGCAATGAACTTTTATTACATACGGCAAACGTCAACCGGCGGAGCAGAGAGAGATAACACTTTATCTAACACTTTACATATTAATTAATAAAGCGACTTTAAATTATCAAACCATAACAATCTGGTGACGAGGACGGGATTTATGTCAATGAAAAAGGCACATCAACCAAATGTTGAAATGTAATGAAAGCCTAGAATAGCATATATATTATATTTTCTAATCGCTTTTTTAAGGATCATAAAAACATAATAGTTACCTTTCACGCTCTCATCACGGGCGTGTCACGCGGCACTGGAGCCCTAGGGTCACTCACCATTGACGCGGAAGAATCCCTAAACGGGGATCCCGCGGCTTCGCGCTAAGCAGCTTAATATTATGCCGTAAAGCGCCCGTACGAGTTACGGGGTCTTTAGTGGGCAGCCACTACTGGGGCTCGTAAGGCTTGCGGGAGCCAGGTGTGAGGTCCGTTCGGCGGTGTGCCTCTTAAAGGCGCCGTCGTCTGTAAATAGTATTTTTTGCCTGCGTATAAAAAAAAGGGTCACTCACCAGGGGTCCCGGTGAAATGGCGCACACAGAAGTGCGCCGATCCCGAGACGCTCCCACATGGGCCCGGAGTCACACTGGCGCCCTAGGGTCACTCACCAGGAACATCTGGTATGTGAGCGGCGGGATGCCCCCGTTGGCGCGGATCACAGTGTCAGGTTCCCACAATGTATGCGACACGTGCTCGCGGCACTACACGATGATCTCCCTTCACACTGGCGCCCTAGGGTCACTCACCAGGAACATCTGGTATGTGAGTGGCGGGACGCCCCCGTTGGCGCGGATCACAGTGTCCGGTTCCCACAATGTATGCGACACGTGCTCGCGGCACTACACGATGATCTATCTCCCTTCACACTGGAGCCCTAGGGTCACTCACCAGGAACATCTGATATGTGAGCGGCGGGATGCCCCCGTTGGCGCGGATCACAGTGTCCGGTTCCCACAATGTATGCGACACGTGCTCGCGGCACTACACGATGATCTCCCTTCACACTGGCGCCCTAGGGTCACTCACCAGGAACATCTGGTATGTGAGCGGCGGGATGCCCCCGTTGGCGCGGATCACAGTGTCCGGTTCCCACAATGTATGCGACACGTGCTCGCGGCACTACACGATGATCTCCCTTCACACTGGCGCCCTAGGGTCACTCACCAGGAACATCTGGTATGTGAGCGGCGGGATGCCCCCGTTGGCGCGGATCACAGTGTCCGGTTCCCACAATGTATGCGACACGTGCTCGCGGCACTACACGATGATCTCTCTTCACACTAGAGTCCTACTGTCACTCACCAGGAACATCTGGTATGTAAGCGGCGGGATGCCCCCGTTGGCGCGGATCACAGTGTCCGGTTCCCACAATGTATGCGACACGTGCTCGCGGCACTACACGATGATCTCTCTTCACACTAGAGTCCTACTGTCACTCACCAGGAACATCTGGTATGTAAGCGGCGGGATGCCCCCGTTGGCGCGGATCACAGTGTCCGGTTCCCACAATGTATGCGACACGTGCTCGCGGCACTACACGATGATCTCCCTTCACACTGGCGCCCTAGGGTCACTCACCAGGAACATCTGGTATGTGAGCGGCGGGATGCCCCCGTTGGCGCGGATCACAGTGTCAGGTTCCCACAATGTATGCGACACGTGCTCGCGACACTGCACGCCGATCTCGCGACACGCGTCCTTTACGCTATCGTCGCGCGCGCGCCACACCGGCTCGCAGTCCTGCTCGAAGCACAGCTTGCGGATGCCTAACAAACGTTGACGTGATATGACTTCCACCATTCACTCAGACACTCGCATGAAATCGACAACTCACCAGAAAAAGGGATACTTATATATCTAATACATAGACAAACTATGGAAAAACATGTTATTGTTGAAACCAGCCCAATACGAGGTGAGCACGCACACGAATGATTCCGCATCGTTATCTAAGGCAAGAGCTAACAAACTGTTCTATAGCAATAAAAACATCATCACTTTACAAAATCGCTTCCAGAGATATTGTTTCCTAGACGTTAGTATATATCGTGATGTTGGACTAATACAAAGTTTAAGATTCACTCACCAAATTCCTCCCACAGCCTCTTGAAGACGATGTTGGGTTTCCCCTTGAGCATGATGAGGCGGCCTCCGAACTTCTTGAACTGGTTGTCCAAATCATCGAGGGCTTCCAGTAAGTACCGCATGCGGTTGTACCCTACCAACTTCGTACCTGCGCCATAGAGGAAGTTTATTGAACACTTATGATTCTTTCGCGTAAGATGGGCAGAGTAATTGTAATTTTTTGATTTACGAAAACCTCACTTTTTTTAAATATTACTAGGAATCCCATTCGTGAGCTCTTTTTTAAAATATTATCCCATTCGTTAGCTGTCAGAGCAGGATAGTGGGGGAGGAGTCCCATATAATCTCGTCTCTTATCCGAATACGAGGTATATGTCACATATTCTAATACTAACATTAAAAAGGTGAGGTCTTCGTATTTGTTTTATATTATAGGGGAGGGAATGGGGGCATATGATCTGACGGCTCACCTAATGGTAAATGATTACCGTCACCTGTTGACACCTGCAACACCAGGTATATCACATATGTGATGCCGACCTTTAAGGAAGATGTACGCTTTTCTAAAGGCTTCGTCTGCCGAAGCGGGTTTAGTGAGATCCGGAGACTCTCCACGTTAATAAAGACCTCACTTACTGTCTCTCCACCGAATATAAATATAGGGAAGTATGGCATCCGCCTGTTCTGAAGCGCGCTGAGCAGCGCCAGATTGTCGTGAAGCCTCAGTCAATGACGGAACCAGAGCACGCTACCACCCAGCATATTGCCAACAAGCGGTGATCAACACCTGGAGAGCTCACCTGCCGTCTCCCCGTCAAATATAAATACGGGAACGAATGACATGCGCCTGTCCTCGAGCGCGCTGATCAGCGACGGGATGTCGCGAAGCCTCAGTCAATGACGGAACCAGAGCACGCTGCTGCCCAGCATATTGCCAACAAGCGCTGATCAACACCTGGAGAGCTCACCTGCCGTCTCCCCGTCGAATATAAATATAGGGAACAATGGCATGCGCCTGTCTTCGAGCGCGCTGAGCAGCGCCGGGTTATCGTGCAGCCTCAGCCCGTGCCGGAACCAGAGCACGCTGCCGCCCAGCATCTTGACAGCTGAAGCTGATTAACACCTGAAAAGTAAAGTTTATATTCCTCGGTGTTTCATAATTTCAAAGCATACAAATTTTTTTTTCAACGCACCAATTAGCCTAGCACCTAAGTAAGCGCTGTAAGACTTGTGTTATGGGATACTAGGGTAACGGATAGAATACATATATATACTGTACATATATAAGTAAGAAAAACATATTAAACATCCATGCCTGAAGTACATGTGCTATAATTCATCACTCAAACATCAGCCCCCACCGGGATTTGAACCCGGGACCTCTCGAGTCGGAGACACCATGAAACCCGGCGTACAAACCACTTGGCCACGGAGGTCTTTAAAACTAAAATAAAGAAGTCGTCTTCATCAGCCGATTATGTCCCCATTGCTATAGCACCAGGCCATCCCTATAGATGAAATAAGGAGATCAGGCCGTGACCCACAACGCAGGCCCACTAGATTGGTGGGTTCTAACAACTGCAGATGCGGCCGCCCAGAGCCAGGGATAATGTGCCTTTCGAAGCATGGAGGCTCGAGATCCTACTGGCGTCACCTCGAGGAGATTTTAAAGAGAACATAAAAAAGTAGACTCTTGGAAGCATCGGACATACCGAAATAAATCTTTCAGTAGGTATACGAATTTCATATTCCATTTTAATCATGTATGCCGTATACATGAATAAAATGGAAACTTCTATACGGTTTTATACAGATTCGTGTTTGCATTCGTTGGGTTTTATTAAAATGAAACTGGACTTTAAACTTCCGTCCCAGTTTTCCACGGAGAAAGCTATCGTTTTATTTTAAACAAACCTAACAATACCAATAAGTTTCTTTTACTTGCATTTATGCCGGCAATAGAAATACATATTCTGTTACGGTTCAAATCTCCTGACAGACGGACGCACAAACATAGTTTATTAAAAAATAGGCCAATACGGTTTAGATGTCCGTCCTCATCTTTGGGTATAGAACCCAAAAAATAACAATAATTAGGCTGCTAGGAAGATGCGCGGAGCGAAGCTGTGAAATGGTGTAAAATGACTTGAAAATATACTCTATTAAAATTGAGTTAAGAAAGCTTTTTCGAATCGTCAAATATTTTTTCCTACCGTGGTGATAGAAACTTATCAGAATGTGGATGTGTCCACCAGAGATGTGTTAAAAAGATGGGTGAATCAAAGATATGTAGTAAAGCTGTGAATCGGTACGCAGATTTGCGGTGCAAGGATGTGTAACGGGTAGCAGGCTCCTTTCAGATGCTCGCCTTCACTTTATAGCACCCATAACTCACATTCCTCCATTTATTTCCCTGTGCACCCTTGGTTATTCCCTTGGGGGTACAGTTGAAATTCCTTCGCCTGCATCTCTCGCCCACATCTCTGGCATACATCAATCGGACACAGCCCTCCCTTCTTTTGTATGTACAAAAACCTCACTTCCCTTTTTTTCACCAGAGCTCTACTGACCGAGACGAGGTAGGTGAAGCGATTTTTTCGTTTCTTTACAAACACATCATATCTGGTAGAAACGCAGTCTTCTCGTGGCCACACACCATTATGCCGCTTGATCAAGGCAAAATCCTTCCGTCAAGTGGCATGTCCTTCCAAAATGTCTAACCACACACGGTCAGTTTGGCTTGGTAAAGGCAATTTGATCAACCCACTTGATTAAGTGGCAGGATGGTGAGTGCCCACCATTATTTATTACACAGGTATTAATTAAGAAACGCTCAACGGGAAGCCCACAGACAGACCTAGCAACAGCAATAGTTATTGGGAAGCCCGCCCTGGTATTAATTACACGTAACATTTGTTTGTTGTGTACACGGCAGTATTTCTGCTGATACAGTTGTATGTATTTGATATTTCCTACGATTGTCAACAGGTACTACACACACTACAACTCAAATGATATAAGTGGTCATGTATTGGCGGAAATGCGACCTTTTTTAAATTGGAACGTTATTGAGTTTCATTCTTCCGTCAACAATACTTGATCGAAAACATTCATCAGAAAATTACCTAAAACATCAACCTTAAAAAAGAGATACAAAGTTTTTCCTTTCCGCCCCTACTCTTCCACTCTTAAAAGAGGTTTTTTTGGTACAAGAGCATTTAGTTGATTTGCAGCAAAATTTTCACCTGATTAGAAGTGCAAGTGGAGTCCAGTCCAGTAGCGAAGGAAGCTAATGCTGATTTAATACCTTGAGTCTCTTCAATTTTTTTTTTATAGATAGGTCCATCCGTAAGAACACGATTCTACGCTCATGCAGAAAGTCAGCTACCCAAGAACAGAACTGGGCCGGCAGACCGTATGCCGGAAGCTTGGAGAGAACGCTTTTGTGCCAGACCCTGCCGAACCCCAGTCCCCTGACAAGGCTGATAGCCAACAACTCGCCCCGCTTGTCGATAGCCTCACCCCAGATATGAGTCAAGTACGCTAGAAGATCACCCGTCGATCGTTTCGGTCTAAAACCATATTGACGATCATTAATCAGGGAGTGATCCTCTAGGTAGCGGGTCAGATGGTTGTTAAGGACCTTTTATAGAACTTTACATAATACTACACCGCAGTAGCGGTGACTGCTATTGGCCGGTAGTTTGCCGGGTCAAGCGACCCCTTTTTTGGGTACCGGTTGCGCATTAGCATCTCTTCAAGTCTCCGGCACACGCCCCAAAGAATACCAGCATTGGTACAAGCGCGTAAGCACGGGAGACAACTCCACTGCACATTTTTTCAGTACTACTACTGGGATGCCATCAGGTCCACTGGCTTTCCGGACGTCGAGTGATTGCAATTCAGCACGAACCTCACGCTGCCTGATTTTGATATCAGGCGTCGATGTGTCACAATGAGGTAATGATGTTACTCCGTGATGTGGTGTCATTAAGTGCGTTTTATCGTCTAAACCATGGCGAGTGTTCTGAAGAGTTATTCTACATCAACCCACCTTCCCCTTTCCTACAGAGGACCACGCGCGCTGGCCTATACGGTGTCACCGACTAACAATTCCAACGCGAACAAAGAAATTTGGTGAATCATTTCTTGGTCGCACTATCCGCAAATAGAATGCTTTGCCCGCTCACGTGTTCCCTCCTTCATCCCGGGATCCTTCAAGAGACGTAAAGAAGCAATGTGCAGGCCAGCAAGGTGAGGATGGCTGGTGTGGCAGATAACACTGCTGTACCAGTTTTCTTCGCGTCTGGTCATCAGGTGGGGTGAAGTAATTTTTGTTAGACCTATTAATAAAAAAATTTAGCAGAATAGGGTACCGATGCAACCTTGAGTCTAATTCTGATCTATTAACTAATCAGTAAAATACTATCATTTTTTTGTATAAATACGCTTTGTTAAAACTTTAAATAACGTCCCGACATAAACCTAGTATAGAATCAGCTTTATATCATGGCCCACAAAACAATCTCGGTCGGCGTAGAGGGCGAGAAACCTTGCTAATATATACAATACGTAATAATATGTTTGAAGTTATCGAGCTCGCTTCGATAACAGTTACGTAAAGCAACGTAAACTAACCGCTACCATGAAATTCGATAAGCGCGTCGAAACCAGCGCTAGAAATCCACTAGTACCTACATAAACGCGAAAAGTAAATAATTTTGCGTTATATTTTATACGTTCTTATGCCATTACTGGCGGACCGACTAAGTGAACTGTAGTATAGAAATAAATTTCGGATTTGAAAGACAAGTAGATAGCTGATTGAAATAAGCTATAATTTATTACGTCAAAAAAAATAAACGTGCAAAGACGGGGCGGATCGCTAATAAACAAATTCCGTATAATTGACAACATTTAGGAGTATTATAATAATTCTAAACTCAATCCTAAACTAAGCAAATCTTGTACCATGAAAACTATGACATGTAATAACATTATATTTATAAATGCTCTCTATAAAGATTAGAACCCAGGACCTTGGGAGCAAAAGGCTCCAGCCTTTAACGCCAACCTGGCATTAATACCGGGTTCACACGAGGCGATTTAGATTGAGCAACTTTTATCGTTCGACGTAATTTTTTTAACAATTTTGAATGAACATGTTCCGACTGTTTATTTTAAAGAAAATTGATTCGGTTTTGGTAACCAAGATGGCGGAAAGTGAACCATTCAATGAGTATGCATTAAATATTTGTGATATTTTGCGAGAAGAATTAAGAGAAATGTTGTTGAGCATCCTTATTTTTATTTAACTCAGAACTATTGTTCTATAAACGCTGGTGTTACTGTTATAGTTCTAAGAATCGTGTCATAATCATAATACTATCAGTTCATTTTATCGTCTTTTCCGCTGACATTTTATAATTATCACCTATCTTAAAATTATCAAACACTTGGCCGCAGACGTATAATTGGAATGAACTTGAACGCGACAGGTTCAGATGAGTCGCATTGCTTTAAACAATAAATCAAAGGGACTTGTTGAAAGGTGGCTAAGTTTTATTTAATCGATTTTTGTTGCTTCTATTTGATTGGAAGTCAGAGTGTTTTTAAAACGCATGCAATTTAGTAGTCGCTCAACTAAAATCGCGTCGTGTGAACCCGGTATTTAAATGGAAAATTTGGAAAGGTTAAAATATTTATTATATATTGGTTATATATTATATATATTGAAGGGATTTCAACATCTAGCAGTTAAATGCTTAAAAAAAACATAACTATAATTGCTATTTCTTCTTTCAAATGTTTAATACTTGAAAAAGTAATCATTTGACAATGTGGGTTACCTACAATGCGAAGACATTATGGCGCTGCCTTGCAGCTTAAGGCTAGGAAATTTTAACATCAGGGCCGTGGTAGCATAATTGGTCAGTGCATTCGCCCGATTGCAAAAGGGTTCGGATTCGAGTCCCGTCCGCTGCGTGGATTTTTTTCTAGTAAAACTTTTCTTTAGATTTAAACATCTAGCAATTAAATACATAAAAAAATACATAAGGTTGAAATAGGTAAGGAAAAATAAATATGTATTGGAAACAATTGACTACGCAATAAGTTGGTAGT